AAATTGTAGTTTCATTATTGTGGGTGTTGTGAGCATATAATTTTCCCTACCAAAGTAAAATGATAATGATTAATTTAGTGTGCTTCATTGTGAGTATCTATGAAACCATGTTATGTGATGTATGAATGCGATGCAAGCCAATGTGCCTCTCGTCCTTCGACTTTCACGGCTGGAGTTCAGCGTATAACTTTGGCGTTTGGGTGTGAGCCATGCAGAATTTTAGCAAATATGGCATTTGCCTTCTTTTGGATGGAAGTGTTGTGGGATGAGTTCCGAAAACCTGGCCTGGCTTCCAGAACTTAGCTACATGTTTATCCTGAAGATGGCAACTGAATTGTTTGCCAAAATGTTGGTTAATACTCAACATTTCATGCACCTCACACTCAAAGGCCAAAGTTATGCAAGTCAGTGTACTGTTTACATGAACACTAATATATATATATATTTTAAGTATATGGCGCCAAGAATTGTTTTATTCGTAACTGAGATGCGTTTGTAGCTTGAATCTCTCTCTCTTTTGCATGAGCTTGGTATGAACTGAAATAATGGAATATTGGGTCTGCTTAGTAGAGTATCTCTGAAATGGTGCTGAAGTGCAGGGGAAAATATTTATGTTAAGTACCTAAATTATTTGCATGTAATTTAATAGATTTGTGAACATTACACATTCCTTCCTTGGTCTTGCAATGACTTCTGTACATTACAGCGAATAGCAGGCATTGTGAAATACATGAATTACAAGATGACTGTGTCAAAAGTCTACAGCTGTAATTACACAAAAATAATATTTTTGATGAAGTTCTGTTCGTTGCTTGGAACAGCTCGGCCTCTCCTAACATGCCATAAAGATTTTCCCCTGGTGCACTTTGCAACTTGGACATTTCCTTTTAGATTTATAAGGGCTCCTGGTTGATTGAAATTCTCTGATTTGGCTTTGCTTCTGCAGTGGATAATGGACCCTCTGAATTCATGGCCAAAATATTAGGTGTCGACTCTCCACCGTTTCTCTGTAATACACAATTTTGTTTTTGACTTCACTGTTACTTTATGTCTCGTAACAGGACGCCAAGTACATTACCCACAATAATTCAGTTGGTACCACGTTTTCCTGTG